AACTGCAGCCTCACGTCTTGGAGCCTGATATCACAGGACTGCTTCAGGGGGCTCATATATAGATATATACTCGTACACTGATGACTGTCGCTTAAACCAGTTTTGTGTGTTTATCAACATCTATCAGACACCAGACTCTTCTGGACCAAGCTGTGTTTCCATGAAGAGTGAGCCCTCCATGTAGTGACCTACTGTCTTTAAAGAGAGACGTCATTCCATTGAGGAAATATGAAAACAGAATAAGCAAGCAAACGCATTGCTTTCTCAAACACAAGGATTTGATGAAAACATATCTCCTCTCAGAGTCTATAACTTGTGACGAAAAAAAACTTCTAGATGCTCAGAGATTATGTGAATAGTGCTGATTATCTCGTAACAACACTGGAAGACGAGATTTGGATTTACTAAACTGCTAGCTCTGTAGTGAGCATGTTGGATATACAGCCAGTATATAGACCAGGAGACCTGTCCAGGGTGTCCCCTGCCTTCGCCCTAAGTCAGCTGGGATAGGCTCCAGCCCCCCATGACCCTAATGAGGATTAAGCGGTGTATAGATAATGGATGGATGGATATGGACCAGGAACCAGCTACAGGATGGTGGAGGATATAATGGAACATGTCTGATCCATGGAAACTCCACCTCCACACTAATATCTTGGAGCCTGATACCTCAGGGCCCCTTTAGAGGTCTGGTAGAGTTCAGGACTCTGAAGTTGTCTTGGTGGCACAAGAAGGACCAACAGTGTATTGGGCAGAGGGTCTTTATGTTAATCAGTGTACATTCTACAAGTATATTATAGAGGTACATGCTCTATACTTGTATACTGATGACTTTCTCTTAAGTTTTAAACATTCATTTTTGTGTTTCTATCAGGATCTATCAGACACCAGACTCTCCTGAACTCAGTGACGTTTCCATGACGAGCGACTACCCCATATATGAAAATATTGTCTTCAAAGACAGACATAGTTCTTCTGATGAAAGGTAAGGCTTTCATACTCAAACAAATGAATTTCATTCACAAACACAGAGATCTTATTAAAGCTGACATCATAATTTCACTGACTGAGCAGAAGGAGCTTCACTGATCTTACAAATGCTGGTTACAGTTCAAATTGAGACATTTGTCTTTGTGAATAGGATTTACTCTACACTGTAGGCTTTATGCACATGCCAACTTTCACATAAAGACATTTGTTGCATCTTAAAAACTGGTTGTGTTGGTTGATGGTTGGCATGTTTTGAGTTTTATTGCCATACTTGCAAAGTATACTGTAGAAAATACAATGAAAATCTTATTATAATGCTTCTCCACAGATGAGAAAAGCAGCATTCAAGCAGTGCAACAACATTGTCAAAATAACTACTAAATACTAAATTCTAATGTAAGATTTGAATTAGTTATTTTAAATTAAAAACTGCATTATTTTATGTTCTTTTATGTTGTTGTTTTCTTCATTCAGTTTTCTCGTACAACAAACTGAAAAATACAAATAAAATCTTGAACTCACTTTAATTTAGATACTAAATGAAGTAAATGGACAAAGTAATTGATGTTACAGAAGATTCTATGCACATAAATGCACAAAACTCTTTCTCTCTTTGGAAATGTTAAGATGGATCCTGCTGCTGTTAGAAGCGTTTCCTAAACTTAACTGATTGCTGGAGCTGTTTACTGCTCTGAGTTATTCGTGGTCTTCATCCTTTTGAAGAAAAATCCATTTAGTGAACACTGAAATTGGTCCACCCTTGAAGAATCGTCTCTTTTTTGTGTTGGAGGGGTTTGAGAATCCCTGTGATGCTAGGAGCTATGTTGTGGGGGGCAATAACCCCTGGTAGCGTCTCACATGGCAAACTGGTCCTGGGGGAGGGACAAGACAAAGAGCCAGTTACATAACCCAAATTAAAACAAAAAAATGGACTGAATAGGGAGACTGAGGCCCTATCCTGGAGTCAGGCCCAGGAGGGGATCATGCTTTTTCATACTTCCATACTTCTCCTTGTGGACCTCAATGCTGACGTGGGCAATGGTGGAGACACCTGAAGGGGGGGACTGGAACAAATGGGTTTTCTGATCTGAACCCAAGTGATGTTTTGGACTACTGGACTTCTAGTTCATTCTAGTCATTGATTGGCCATAGTGAAAACCATGTTGGAGCATAAGATGGCTCACAAATGTACTTGTTACCAGCGCACCTGTGGCCAAAGTCGGTGATCAACTTTGTAGTCATGTGATCAGACCTGTGGCCACATGGACACTCAGGTTAAGAGTGGCGCAGAGCTGTCAATTGATCACCACCTGGTGGTGAGTTGGATAAAATGCCAGGGAAGGCTGCTAGACAGAGCTGGTTAATCTAAACGTGTAATGAGGGTAAAACATGGTACATCTGGCAGAGGCCCTTGTCTTTGGAGTCTTTTCAACGTGCCCCTCCAGAAAAGTTTCTCCTGCCTCTCCGCAGAAGTTGGGCATACACATGGACATGGAATCTGAGTGGGCCAAATTTAAATCCTCCATTGCAGCAGCAGTTGTTAGGAGCTGCAGCTAAAAGATCACTAGCCCCTGTCATTACGGCAACCTAGTGGTGAAGAAGGCTGTCAGGCTGTAGAAGGAGGCTTTTCAGGTATGATTGGCTCTGAGGTTTCCTAAAGCAGCTGACAGTGGAAGATAAAACTAGAATGGGGAAGTAGTTCAGAGAGGCTATGTAGAAGGACTTTAATTTGGCCTTGAGGAAGTTCTGGAAAGCTGTTTGATGCCTCAGGAAGAGGAGGCAAGGCTTAGTCCAGGCTGCTGTCCTGGACTGTGGACATTGTCGGATGGTGGAAAAAGTAGTTCAAAGAGCTCCTTAACCCGGTTAACACAGCCTCTGCTGAGAAAGCAGAGCCTGAAGAGTCGGGGGTATCTTCACCCATATCCATGATGAGGTTGCCAAGATAGTCAAGAAACTCCTCCGTGGCGACGGCTGCATGTTTCAGAACTCATATTCAACCCCAGAGAGAATTAATATGATTCAAGCAATGACTTTAAGTAGACTAGGCCTTTAACGAAAACTTGTATGTTGGTGGTTTGGTTTCCATCAGGATTCAACAGCAAAGATCAGCCTCTCCTGAACCCAGCTGTGTGTCCATGAAGAGTGCCCAGTCTATGATTGAACACATTCTATTCAAACATAGACACCAGTCTCTTGCTGAAAGGTGAGAATATAAAGTGTTGATTGTGTTTCCTCTTTGACAACATCACATCCAACAATGAGAACAGCGTTTACATTAGAGATCACTTTGTGTTTCTGTCAGGATTCATCATTGTAGAACACAGCTCCATTAACAAAGTGTAAATGTGCTAAAGTTGAATGTTGTTGCAGCGTTAAGCAGCAGAGCTCAGAGGATCACAGAGGTCAGTGTGTCCCTCAGCGTCAAACAGATCTGGACTCTGTGTTTATGGTGAGAACTATTCTACATTCAACCCTTCACTGTCACATTAACCTGACTGAAGAATTTGTTGTCATTTATTGATGAAACATGAAACAGACTCTCAGTGAGCAGCTTATTTGATCCATTTAGGTCCAAATATTACAAATATCTATCGGTGCTGCAATAAATCCAACGTTCATGAAGGTTATAATGTAAAGTTACTGTGAAACAGTTCCAGAAGTTGGTTCTAATTCAATTATGGTTTTGGACCTAATATTGTTCACACTGCTCTCAAAAATGGATTTTAACAAATATTTGAATTTGTCTTCAGTTTCAGTTGAGAATGAACTCGATATATTTCTCTGTTCCAGCTGCTGGAGGAGAACATTGTCAGTTTTGTGAAGAATGAGCTGAAGAAGATGCAGAAGGTTCTGAGTCCAGATTACCCAGAATGCTTAGAGAGTCAGAAGGAGGAAGAGGAGGTGTTGGAGGGTGAAGATGAAGATCAGAGGAGCAGCAGCAGAGAGTCATTTCTGAAGATCACTCTGCACTTCCTGAGGAGAATGAAGCAGGAGGAGCTGGCTGACCGTCTGCAGAGCAGTAAGAGGATTTTAACGTCTTTAGCATGATGGAAAGAACAAATGGAGGAAACCTGTCAGATGTTTATACTGGTTGTTTTTTTTCCCAATCTACTGTTTCTTTGATTCAAGCATTGCATCAAATCTAATAGTTCTTCTGAAAAGAAGTTTGTCACTCCAATTTATTTGTTTTCCTTTTGTTTTTGTTCAGGGACTATTGTTCTGATGTGTCGACAACAACACAAGTCCAACCTACAGAAGAAGTTCCAGTGTGTGTTTGAGGGGATCGCTAAAGCAGGAAACCCAACTCTTCTGAACCAGATCTACACAGAGCTTTACATCACAGAGGGAGGGACTGCAGAGGTCAATGATGAACATGAGGTCAGACAGATTGAAACAGCATCCAGGAAACCAGACAGAGCAGAAACAACAATCAAACAAGAAGACATCTTTAAAGGCTCGTCTGGAAGACATGAACCAATCAGAACAGTGATGACAAAGGGAGTGGCTGGCATTGGGAAAACTGTCTTAACACAGAAGTTCACTCTGGACTGGGCTGAAGACAAAACCAACCAGGACATCCACTTCACATTTCCATTCACTTTCAGAGAGCTCAATGTGCTGAAAGAGAAAAAGTACAGCTTGGTGGAACTTGTTCATCACTTCTTCACTGAAACCAAAGAAGCAGGAATCTGCAGCTTTCAACACTTCCAGGTTGTGTTCATCTTTGACGGTCTGGATGAGTGTCGACTTCCTCTGGACTTCCACAACAATGAGATCCTGACTGATGTTACAGAGTCCACCTCAGTGGATGTGCTGCTGACAAACCTCATCAGGGGGAAACTGCTTCTCTCTGCTCGCCTCTGGATAACCACACGACCTGCAGCAGCCAATCAGATCCCCTCTGAGTGTGTTGACATGGTGACAGAGATCAGAGGGTTCACTGACCCACAGAAGGAAGAATACTTCAGGAAGAGATTCAGAGATGAGGAGCAGGCCAGCAGCATCATCTCCCACATCAAGACATCACAAAGCCTCCACATCATGTGCCACATCCCAGTCTTCTGCTGGATCACTGCTACAGTTCTGGAGGAGCTGCTGAAGACCAGAGAGGGAGGAGATCTGCCCAAGACCCTGACTGAGATGTACATCCACTTCCTGGTGGTCCAGACCAAAGTGAAGAAGGTCAAGTATGATGGAGGAGATGAAACAGATCCACACTGGAGTCCAGAGAGCAGGACGATGATTGAGTCTCTGGGAAAACTGGCTTTTGAGCAGCTGAAGAAAGGAAACCTGATCTTCTATGAATCAGACCTGACAGAGTGTGGCATCGATATCAGAGCAGCCTCAGTGTACTCAGGAGTGTTCACACAGATCTTTAAAGAGGAGAGAGGACTGTACCAGGACAAGGTGTTCTGCTTCGTCCATCTGAGTGTTCAGGAGTTTCTGGCTGCTCTTCATGTCCATCAGACCTTCATCAACTCTGGTGTCAACCTGATGGAAGAACAACAAACAGCATCTCGGTTGTCTGCTGTGTTTAGAGGAAAAACAAAATTAAAACATGTCCACAAGAGAGCTGTAGACGAGGCCTTGCAGAGTCCAAATGGACACCTGGACTTGTTCCTGCGCTTCCTCCTGGGTCTTTCACTCCAGACCAATCAGAATCTCCTACAAGGCCTGCTGACAAGGACAGAAAGTAACTCACAGACCAATCAGGAAACAGTCGAGTACATCAAGAAGAAGCTCAGTGAGAATCTTTCTGCAGAGAGAAGCATCAATCTGTTCCACTGTCTGAATGAACTGAATGATCGTTCTCTTGTGGAGGAGATCCAACAGTCCCTGAGATCAGGTTTTACTAACAGATATGTGAGACCTTTGTGCCATTAGCAGCTATCAGAGGGGAAAGAAATACAAAAATCCTTGAGTTGAGTAGAAGTACGAACACTACCGTGTGTAAATATTCTACGACAAGTTAAAGTTCTACATTCAAAATACTACCAATGAAATAATTGACCTGAGCAGCCTGAAGAAGCAGGACAGAAACACATTTATGTCACTTTGTCGGTTCGTTTCTTCTCTTTTACACGTTCTGGTCGAAACAAGGTTTGTCCCATTTCAGTGAACTGCGTTTCCAAAGTAAAGTTGGGCACATTTCTGTATACACATAACTTTTATATTTTACTTTTGTTAAAAAAATAAATAAAATGAAGGAAAATCTAATCAGTGACGTCTGCTCGTCCACACTTGGCAACAAAATGGAAGGATTCGAAAATTCTGAAGATCACAGAAGAATGTGTTCCATAAATAAACATTGAAAACATATCTTCATCCAAAATGTGCACAGTTTTGTTTCATGAATAATTCTGATGGTCGGTGGAGATATTCGGAGTTGTTCAGTGCTGCTGTTTGATTGCAGTTGTGTGGAGTTGTTCAAACCATCTGCTGATTGTGTATATTTGATGATGAGTCGACTGAATCTGAATGAACACATTGCTTTGAACAGTCTTTTATTACAGAATTTTTCTAAAATGTTTGTGTTAATACGTGAATCACCTGCAGGATGTGACTGACTTAGAGCAGAATTTAGTGACCTCCAGCTGGATGTTTGTGAATTTCATTGCACATATTAAGTTCTTAAACTGCTCATCAGCAGCATCTAGTGGACAGATGGTAGAACTACACCATCTGCTCTGTGACGGACTGGAGATGGTTGTGTGTGGAAATTTAATACAAGTAAGACAGCATTCAATTTTGTTGCAACATTCTTATCAGACACAGTAACAGAAATATATGAGGCCAGTAGGTGACATTTGACTATACAGAGCCTCAAGGTTTGAGGACAGGTTCTCCCCCCAGGCCATAAAACTGATTGACACTTCCAGATTATCACAGTCCAAAGGATCTATGGCAATCTTGTACTACTGTATATTTTTGTACAGCCTGACCCTTTTTACCATAAATGTTTTAATGCTTTTTACACATTCTATTACTGCACATAAAGCTCCCAGCACTGTTTTTTTGTATAATTAATGTCCGTCTGTCTCAGTGTGCATGAATAGATGTGAGAATTCCAGTGAGTGCATTCTGCAAACAGGTTCATCACAACAGAAGGTAGAACAGAAAGCTAAGAATTTAGTTGCATTGCTAAACTGTTGCTGCACGTTACGCGAAAAGAGTTTAGACCTTCAAAGAATGAGGACATGAATACCTCTGACTGCTGAGAACCTGTCACAGGTTGAACTGGTTTTGTGTCACTCTGATGTATTTCTACACTTGGACTTTGAAGTTGTGAGGGTGTGAGGGTTTCCTCAGATTAAATGCACACAGACTACAGGACTGACGAGGGAGACTGAGCAGCTTCTTCTCTCCAAACGTTTCCTCGACACATGGAGGTGGAAAGTGTCTGTAAGCTGACCTGAAGTGAGCTGAGCAGGTGAGAATCCTACCACAGAAATCTGTACATGTCTGATCTACAGGATCATGCTGTGGTGTAGTTTCTTTAAGACGATTGCCTGTCTCACCTTGTACTCACAAGAAAAGAATTTGTATTTGTGCTAAAGGGCAGTGATTTAAAAATCTATGATGACAGGTACATAGTGAAAACATTGGAATTGTTTTTTTTCCAGCTTAAAGTGAGAAAAGTTGCGCAATCAGTTAAGTGAATGAATCTGTTTGCTCTCAGTCGCTCTGATGAACAAACACACTTTTAATCATGATTTTTGACTGATGTTTTTTTTTTTTTTTTTTTTTTTTTTAATAATTCAAGGGATTTAATAGAGAAGGGCATCAGTTTAAATTCACTTACTAATAAAAGTTAAGTTATTTAATTTAAATGAGTGTCTATAATGTTTTGCAGTCATGCTGTTATGGATCAGGTTCTGGGACTCACATGCAGACAAAGACTCAGCAAAACAAATTGTTTCCAACAATAAAAAAAAATTCACACGATGTACAGGAAACAGAAATGACTCAGAATAACCACTATACAAGAAACTAGAGGGACTTCTGCTGGTCAAATATCAAAAACAAGGTTATACAGAGTGAGGCCTCGTTTACACATAACAAAAATGGTGCTATTTCAATGCATTTGGATCATTGGTTTACACGTAAATGAAGCTACAAGTCACTGAAAACGATCACATCTGGAAACTCCGGCCAAAGTGGAGATTTGGAAAAACTCTGTCTTTATGTTTCCATGTAGACAGAAGGAGACGGAGTTTGACATCACAGTGTGCGACCATGTTTACAGTTTGGCTACTGTGATAGAAAGTCAATATCTTAAAGTATATTCCTTGTTTTGTGCTCAAACACCACATTCAGGAGTAGCTCCACTTCCCTGTTGGTCCAATCAAACGACCCTCGCACCATTATCGTCAAAGTAACAGGACATAAATCGTGCCATTCGTTTTTGTGTTTTTTCCAGGACTCTGATTGGCTAGCATGGCTTTATGCTTCTCGTTACACTGCCCCCTATAGGTTTGGCAGCTCATAGCAGCTCTTAACAACGTGTTTATGCAGGTTTTTGTGCAAATGAAGATTTCTTTGAAAACGATCTATGGGGATCAATGTTGTTTTTGAAAATGTAGATCTGTTTTTGTAAATACCCGGCTACGAGTAAACGTGGCCCGAGAGGTGGAGGCCATGACAAATGCAGCAGCTCCCAGAATCCAAAACAGTTTTATTGTGAATTCACTATGAAGTCAGAAAACTGCAGAGAGGGACAGATCATCTGGACCAAGGTGCATTTGGCCTGTTATCTTCTCCTCAGGTGTTCAGTTGAGTTAATGTTTTACCCTCCTAGAGGCTGAAGAAACAGTTTTATATGAACCTGCTCTGTGTGTCTGAAACAACAGGAGTTTGTTTAATAGTGTTGAAAATGTAAAGCATCTTTGAATTGCATTTTTGTTTTAACTTTCACAGCTCCTGATCACAAGATACAGAACATGTGATAAGAACTCAGTCATATAAAACAAGGACATATTGAGGTTGTTGACAAAGTGTTTGAATTTTTACGATTTCATGTAAAACATGAATTTGGGATAACATCTGTCATGTTAGTAATAGGAACTAATCCAATGTGTCCTGTGATCAAAGCTGTATATTTACAAGTGTAACCTTGTAAAAGTGGACTTAACGGATCAGTTCTATTCAGTGGGGTCCAAAAATCTGAGACCGCTCTGAACACACTTTTAGCAGACACAGAGTCTGGTCCGGACTCATTGCCTGCATCTCCCATAAATCCTTTTGAGGAGGAGGACTCGTATCAATATCTTGACCACATTATTCACTTCTTTGGACTTTGGAAGGAGGCTGATGATCCCTGCCTCAAACAGCTTTTTTTGAAGTTCGCGCT